ATAGGAACATGTACAGTACATGTAATAAAAACTGAAAACATTTGGGTTTTTTTTTTGTAATTTTGGGATTTGTCTAGTTCATGAATGGAAAGACAGACATTCATGCAGTTAAAAAGAAATATATATTATAAACCTGTGTTTGTTGTACATGCTTCAGGTCTTTGAAATCTAAAAGAAAATGCATATATCTCTTTAAATTGATTAAGGGCCTATTCACACCGAATGTGTAGGGGCTGTGCTTGCTGTTTTTTCCAGCACAGCCGCAATGCAAGACAAGGCAATTTGCCTTGTTCCAGAAGGACTCAGTTAACAAGACCGCGTTTTTACAGCATAGCATAGTACATTGTGGTACAACTTTTGTGGTATAACTTTTCAATAAAGTTGTAACAATAAAGGTAACAGTGTGATGCGTCGCAATCACTGCATCTGAACTGTCCAGGGAACACGCACACCAGTAAAGCCAGATCCTCTCTTGAACAGTCACTCGATCAATTGTCCGCATTATAAATTTTACTGTCACCACTTGTTCTGGATTTCTATCACTTTTTATCTTGGTGGCAATTGATAAATAGGGAGGGTAAATATCCTCAGCGGGGACTCAGACAGCAATACAAACTTGGCAACGCATTTAACTCTTCTCTACTTTATCCAAAAAAGTGTGTGACTATATATACAATTTAGGTTTTCCTTTAAAGGTGCCTTGAACTTGTGGCCTCTTGAGCCATGTGCATGAGTCTCATGTATCTAAGGGGTTGATTTACTAAAAACAAATAGGCTGTTCACTTTGCAAGAGAATGTGTACTTTGCAGGGGACGCTCTGTTGACTTCCATCAAGCAATCATGTGCAACCAAAAATACTGTTTTTTTTTATTTCCTTGCACGTAATTGGGTATTCTTTGCAAATAAAATGTAAACACATTTACTAAGCTAAGGGAAAGATCTTCCTGCAATGTGCGAATTCCCTTGCAAAATGAACAGCCAATTTGCCTTTAATAAATCAACCCCCTAGTAGCAAAAATAGCAAGTTTATGTATTGACTTATTGCCACTAGTCGCATTCAAGCCTGACCTGAATAGTGGCTGTGGGGCTATGCACACTTTTTTTTATTCCTTACTGGAAATTGAAACCACTGATCAAAGCATCCAAAATGGTCTTTTTATCAGAAAAATACAAGTTTTCAATTACTTTCGGCATCACCTCTGCTCTTCTATTCCACATCTACTCTTCCATTCCACCCCATAAAAACACCACTCATATCTAGTGCTTATCAAAGAATCTGAAATAGGAACTATTTGTATTGCCACGCAGCAACCAAACTTCAGCTTTCATTTTCTTTTTGTCACATTCCCACCACATCTTTGCTTCTAGCAGTTTTTTTTCTTCAGTCCATTTGATGAATGAAGCTTACATTGGTGACATTTGCTATTACCTTTAATAGGTTTAAATATTTTCAATTTTGATGGACTCCTAAGAAAAATGGCAACTTCCTTTTCTACATGTCCAGATGTGATCAGAACTCTTTGATATAATGCATTACATCTGTTAGGTAAACAACACTTTACATGAGATGAGATTTTCAATCAGTTCCCAGCAGCCATGGAGCAAATAGCTGCACATTAGATTGTAATTTGTGTCAGGTACATGTATTGTGAGTTTAGTGAGGGTTTTTTTTTCTTATCAGGACATGTTTCTTTAACATCCTCTGAGTTTAAAGGCTTCTCTGCTTTTTTTTTTTTTTTCCAAGTGTCACAAATGATTGTAAAACCTTTTGACTGCCATATGTTCATGAAAGGAAAGGTAAAATGCTAAGTGTTCAATCACTCTCTTGCTGCCTGAACGAAGATTGCAAATGATAGCTCACTTATAGCCTGTTCAAAGGAGTTTAAATCACAATTGATTTACTCCCTGACTGAGCTGCCAATGGAATAATTGCTAATGGCTTCACAAATTAGGTGGGATGGAAGGTAACAAATACGTTTTAAACACAGGAGGTTGATTGGCAACAGAACCAGAGAGAAAAAAACTTCCCAGCAAACCTTTGGAAGGTTTTGTGGTAACTGTTTCCTTGACCATTAGCATATACTGTTACTTGATTGTTGAAAGTAGCTGCCCATTTATTGGGGTTTTCCAAGTTAATTTGAAAGTGGAAACCTAGTTCACACTTTCCTAGGTAGTAACGCAAAGGGGGTTCTCCACTCCCCCATTGAGTGCAACAATGGGAATTTCATCCTGCTGTGCTAAGCACTCTATGCCTACCCAATTAGATACTATGGCACCAGTAGGTTCTGCTTGTTCAATAGTTTTTAGGTTGTATTAAAATGATACAACAAAACATCAGATACTTAACCACATCAAAGATCTCTGCTGACAATTTTCAATTTCGACTATAAAGAAACACAGGCCCATGATTTGTTTGAGCCTTTCTGAAATGCAAAATGTACTCTCGTTAAAAATAAGCTGTTGAAATACATATACAGAAACTGCTTCACCTGCCAAATGACTTGTAATTTTTTTTCAGCCAATCTTGTAATTTTGGCTCCCCTGTCAGTCAACACAGTTAGGTTCTTGACCTCAACAGCAACAGCAGATTTTGGTCAAGAACATACCCCCAGCTTGTGATTAGACAACAAAGGAGCAACAGCAGAGTTATAAGTAGGGATGCACCGATACCGATGAAAGTATCTGTGCCAATACCCAGTATTGGGCCAAGTACTCGCCAAAATGCTCCCAATGCCTATCCCGATACCGGAACTTTCGGTATCAGGAATCTGGGCAGTGAGTCATTACACGCTGCCACGCTTCCTGATTGGCCGGGAAGCCGACTCCATGCTCCCTCCTCACTTGGTGAAGGAGCATGGAGGAGGCTTCCCGGGCAATCAGGAAGCTGGGCGGCATGTAATGACTCACCGCTCAGCTTCCTGATTGGAGCCGGCTTCTTGGCCAATCAGCAAGCCGGGCACTGTGTAATGATGTGCTGCCCAGCTTCATGATTGGTAGGGAAGCTGGCCAATCTGGAAGCCAGGCGGCGAGTCAATGCATGCCCCCCGGCTTCCTTAATGGGATTTCCAATGCCGGTATATCGCTATGCTAATTAATCGTTCAGTATATTCCCTCTCTGAGCTTGCAACATAGACTGGTTGGCTAAAGAGTGTTGGCTTTCCGTCTCCAATTTTAACTGTTGTTGTGACGTGGATTACAGATATTAATATATCAAATCTGCATTTTGAAATACATGAATGATTCTTAATAAATACATAAGTACATTAATAGCTGCTTTTTAATGTCAGACTGTCGATTAGTGTTAAAATAATTTATTTTCCACCAAAATATATTTCCCACTCACTATTTAATAATTTAATTTACTCTATTGCAGTAGTAATTTTATCTGCTATAGGATTGATGGATTGACCAAAGTGTTCAAGTGTGCTATTCAAGAAAAACCCATCATTGTCTGTCTATAGCAAACATCATTATTTGTAAAGCAAGTGCTCCCCCTAGAACAGGAAAGAATTAAATATCTTTGTCTCCAACTGAGGTTGAAATGTATTTCTCATGATGCCCAGTCTGTCTTGAAGTTATCTTATATTTGATTTCATTATATAATGTATAGCGTGTGTGTGTGTGTGTGTGTGTGTGTGCACGTTTCGTACGCTGCGTGTTCTAATAAGTAAAGAATTATCATTTGAAAATGTTGTTACCAATACGATCTTTTTTTGTAACCATATCCCTCAAATGGCATAAAAAAGAGAAGATTAAGAAGTTTGAGGTACACCAGGTTTGCAGAACTGAAAAAAGATAATCTATTGTTCTTCCATATTTCTATGAACTCAGCAGAATTGGCAGCACAATATACTTGGGCAGGGATGCTTTTTAACCCCGGGGCCAGCTTCCTCTATTTGAATTACATAACTATATGAAATCATGGAGCAGGTAGAGTTATGTGTACAGGCCATGCTAGCAGATTTAATAAGGAAGCAAAAAGATCATGGATAATGTGCAAGCTACAGAAGGCAAAAGCAACCAAAAAGATTTCACTTTTCTGAAGCCTAAAGCAGTCAGTTGAAGATGATTCCTTATTTGTGTTTGTGTGTTTCTGCATTTCGCACATTACATTTTGCGTTGTTAATTAAAGCTGTAGGCTATTTATTATGCGCAAATCTTTTCTTTTTATTATTAATATTATTTAAAAGACATCACACTGGAAAACAGTCAATTTGGTAACTATTACAACTAATGCAATTGATGCAGAATATATTTATGATATAGAAGCTTAAAATACCTATATTTTATTCTCTTCTATGTAGTCATTTAATACGGCAGATGTGCTAATAACATTCATGCTTAACAAATCAAAAACAAGTAACGCTAATTAATTGAGAAAAAAAAAGACCTGGTATACAGTGTCCTCGCCCCCAAGGTTTTAATTTGCAAAGCTAGATTAATTCCCCCCCCCTTTTCAGTAATCATAGTGAACTCTGTGATCAGGTGCTGAAAGCTTGTGCTGTATCTCCATATTTAGTAGAAGTTTTTCTGCAAAATGAAGTCGAGGAACAAATGGAATCTGTGAAGATTTCGTGGATGTTTTCCCTATCAGTTCCAGGCTACTATTTACTTTTACAACAAACTGTTTTGAACGTTTTGTTTGAAAGTATGAAAATGTAGAACTGATAAGAGCAGTGGGAGGAACTGTGCATTCTGTTACTGTAGTGGGAGAGGATTGTATCCTTCCTGGCTGCTCTGTGATTTCTCCTTTCTCACTGGCTTCCAGTGTCGTGATCCATAAAGCGACTTTTATCCTGCTGGCCAATCATGTAAGCTGTCCAGCCTGACCTTCCACCCCAGTGTGAATACACGCTTATGCAGGCACAGTGCTCTAAGTGGATAGTGCCAGTGGCTTCAGCTGAAAAGAAAGGAAGGGAAGTAGTTCCATATGCCTTTGCTGAGGATTAGCATATTGGCTTACGGTGACAGAGAAAGCCTATTAAGCTCCTTTGGGTCCTGCATGTGCTTACAAACTACTTTTTAACTTAATGTCTGAGGTAAGAGATCTATCAGAAGCTAGTAGCAAGTGTAATCTAATATAGTAACAAATCATGCTGCCTCTGGTATTTTGTCAAATGCAAATTGTATTTTTATCCAAAGTATATTAGACAGCACACCATATAACATCACTTCTTTTATTTTCAGATGTTGGTAGCAAATGGATTTTTGAATGTCATTGCATTTATTTGTTTTTTTTATTATTCTATTAGAATTACTAGTATTATTATTTTATTGTTATTAATAATAATAATAAATAATAATAATATTATTATTATTGTTATTGTTTGTATTATTATTTTTGTATCATTGTCATTTTTGTTTATTAAATGTCACATGGATGATTTATATTGGTACTGTTATTTTATGCTATAAAAGACATTCTGAAAGGCATAAAAAAAAGTTGTTAGTACAGGTTACAATGAATTGTGGAAGTAACCTATTTAAAGTAAAAGAAGTTCTATGTTAGTTGTTAGCAATTAAATGATTTTGACTCATTTTATTAGACGTCTCATAATTTTATTGTGCTGGCAAATGTATTTATCGATCTATCTATCTATAGAGAGCGAGAGCTCTAGATGACTCGCATAAAACCACTACTGATTCTTCTACTGCCTTTCAAATGAAGGAATTTCACCCTTCTAAGTGCCATAGAAAAGCCAATGGGCAGCAGTGGAATGTTATTGCAAGCGCTTAGTCCGATCAGGAAAAAAGTGAACAGGACACGAGATGTATGTTTATTCAGAGGAGCCAGCAGCATCTCAGTACTCATCCCCACTTGCAGCAGCTTTTCTACCTCAGCAGCTTTGAATTAGAGCCAAACAATGGATTAAATTGCCACGACATGGGCTTAATGTTACATCTTGTATGGGAAGGATCTATCAGATTGTGTGGGAGAATCAGGGAAGGACAAGGCTGCATATGTAACTCGTGTGCTCCAGGCTCATTCATCATGCTGACAAAATATTAGCTTTAACCCTCTCCGTCCTGGATGGAAAGCATATTGCTACTGACTCCTCAGGCAGTTAATAAGTTTACCCAAATTCAACTTTGTGCACTGTCCTTGGGATTTAATAAATCGTGCATCGTATTATCACTCTTGGTGATTCGAAGCGTTAAAGGGCAATTTACAAATTAAAGATTTTTTTTTCTCACTTTGCCTATAGAAAGTATGTGTTACATCTAACACCTTATCATGTGCAGGAGGCTTTTCTGTTTTTTGATGCTTAAAAAGTCAGAAGTGAACACGAGTTTTCTGGGCTGCAAGTTAAAAAAATACACTTTTAGCACAACACCCTATAAGTAATGCTAAATATACCTGTGCCAAAGCTTTACATTTATCATTTCTACATTTGTATCCCACTGCTGAATTTTGATTTATTTTATTATTATGGACTCAGATGTGCTTACTTTCTACAGCATGATATTGCTTCTTATGAATATGGGAGAAGCTCTGTTTACAAAGACCTGTGACTTTGACTTCCAAAACCCCTTGATCTCTGCTAATGTGCTTTTTACAACTCCAGCACTGTTATGGAAGCTCAGTGTTTTTTTTTTTGAATATTCAGCATTAACCCGCAGACACAAAATAAAGAAGTGCCGGTGATGCAAAAATCACTCAGCTGGCCAATTGTGCACATGTTTATTTAGATATTATAATTTTTTTTGTTTTTTCTTAAAAATGAATGCTTGTTTAAACAATTTGGGAAGGGGA